TAAAATCGCATGCGCACTGAAAACTATCCTTAAACTATGAACTCGCTTATTTAGTTGAAATCAGTATGGGTCTGCCATCTTGGTGTCCCATTGAGAGGCACAAACATGGCGGCCAAATCCCAAAGGTTGAAAATCGTCTTTATATTGTAAACGCTTCAATTTTTCAATACCGAAAATCATCAAAATAATGTTACCCATCATATAAGTTAAAAACGTATAAGTTCAAACGAATGTCCCTATTTCTACTGCTTTGAAAATGCGTGACAGAATTTGACTCACAATAATTCTAAACCATACATCGAAAATACAACATTATTTTGCTAAGACTTTTCTTAGAACGGATATATACAAAGTATTCCATAAACAGATTTGCGGAGTAAATAATTTGGATTTTAGTTTTACGATGACTTCACGTGAAAGCCAAGAATTAATCTGGACTGAGACAACTGGGACAACAACATTCATCACCAGTCCCTCCTYGGCTAACCTTAACAAATCATACCTCCCGCCCCCTGTTGTATTCATCATCTTCGCATAGGGGTGGGGAGGGGGGCTTAGCGGCAACTTATGACCCCACCCACAGTCTATATACGCCCTGTTTTTGTTCCTCTTTGACGCTTTTTTTTTTACGTCATGATTTAAAAATATGAAATTGCCAAAGCCCAGTCGRGGGCCAGCTGATTTTCTGACGGACAGCCATTCTTTAACTGGGGAAAAAACATGTAATCGATCCAATATATCATATAACCGAGCTGAGTCAAAATATACYCATTTTGCATTGATTAATATCTCGAAGTCGAGAAGGAATGAATCAACTAATGAAGTGATTGCTTTAAGATACTTGAGTGAGCTTCCGCATTTCCGCCGCGTATAGGAAAACACATTCATCATGAGAAATATGAAACTAGAATATTAAACAGAAGTGCTTTTGATGGCGATCGAGAGAGTATTGTTAAATCTTGTATTGTTATTATTGTAAACGAATTAGTTGTTATTATTAATGATGAATAAATGGATGAATGGACGAATGGATGGATGGACGAATGGATG